TCAGCTTCAGTGACTGTTCAACCAACAGTTGGGAGACAATTATCAATTAATACTGTTGCTACTCCATCAACTGGAACTGTTAGTAGAATTGTAATTCCTTCTCAGCAAGTAGGTACAAAGTTATTTTATTATATATAATATAAGATCTTTACTTTATTAGTGCTTTGAATATTAATTAAAATTAATTATATAATAGGTACAACAACAACAACAACAGCAACAGCAGCCACAATCACAAACAATACCACGTGTTGTTCAAACAGTAACTTCTTTGTCAAGTCTTAATACAGTATCACGTATAATTACTACAACAGCAAGTACATCAAATACAACAAGAATATCACAGCCTACATCAACTACTGTAGCTAGAATTACTGGGATGTCTTTACATCCTTTACCTTTAGCACCTGCAAGAGTTACATCAGCACCTGCTAAAACAGTACAGGCACAAAGCATTGGGCAAACTGTACAAATCAAGACTAATCAACAGTCTGGATTTCGAGTTTCTACGAGTAATGCAAATAATAATTCAAGTACAACATCTTCTCAATCAGCTCAAGGACAATATTTACATCCACCACATACTGCAACCTATTATTCTTTTGAACCTACAGGTATTTTTTAGTGTTTCTTGATATCAATGTTTTTGAAACAAAGTTTATTTCATGATATTACATAGGAGCATATACTCAATACCGTCAAACTCCAGTAAGGTTACTTGTTGAACCTGGGTATGATGAACCCCATACTAAAACAAATGCATCTCCAAGACCAAGTATACTTAGAAAAAGAGATCATGACAATTCACCTATTAAAGGTATGAAACTAATAAGTTAAATAATATTATATTATTATATTATATAGCTAATAAAGATTATAAAACTAATAAGTTAAATAATATTATATTAATATATTATATATATACATTTAATAAAAAAGTCAATGAAACAGTTTTCGATTTTTTAGGTGCGGCTAAAAATCTAGTTCCTGTACTAGCATCTTTACCTCCTGTTACAACATCGAGTCCACCGTGTTCACCGAGAGGAGACCAAGATGGTGGAGGTTGTCAAAGTTCAGGATCTACAACAGTTTCAGCAACATCGTCACCTGGACTTGATGAGGAACCTGAACAATCTAGAATTACTATAAATCCAACAATAGAAATGTCTCCGAGAAAAAAACCTCGAAAACAACAACTTACTAGAGTAGAATTAACAGAATCAACGTGTACTGAAGAAGAAATGCAATTTATTACAGAAGAAAGAATGAAAAAGGAGCTCAAGGAAGAATCGAAAGAAAAATTATCTGAGAAAAGACAAACATTAAACACACAGTGTGATGTTATTAAATCTCCTATACAACAACCGACAGTTGCAATGCGAACACGGCCTACACCTAGTTTATTAGGTTTGTGTGAGAAATATGTGTATAACGAAAATCAATATAATGTATAACGAAAATGAATATATATTAAAAGAAATTATTTCCGTTTTTGCAGGACCTTCTTGGAAAAATAGGTGGAGCAGTAGACTTCATCATTATAGAAGGCCAAGCGAAGTTAGGCCTCGTGAAGAAAGACGGCCCACAGTTGCAGAAATAGCTCAACAGAAACATGTGTTACAGAAATTAAATGGTTGGAAAGTATATCATCTTACTGCGCAAATGGAAGATATCGCTGATCTTGAAAAACAAGTAAATTTATAGTAGACTGATGTAAAATATACATATGTGTATTTTATGCAAAAGTAGTTTTCAAGTAATATTATAAACTGAAATTTTTATAGGTACATGAAAAACTGAAAACAACATTAAACATACTTGAATCACAGCAAAATGTCAGGAATAGACAAGATGATGGTCTTGAACGTGTAAATGAATTGATCAAAGGAAATATGCAACGTAGTAGTTTAATTAGCGAAGGAATGAGTGAAGCACGCACGCAACTTATTGCTATATTTCAGCATAAAGGACCTATCACAGATATTTTACAACGGTGTGGCAACAAACGGGCTCAAAAAAAACGGGATAAATGAGTTAACATAAATGTGTGTATAAAAATCTCTTGCATGAGCAAGATTTAAGAAGGTGTTATTTTTATCTGTGTCGCAGAATCTATATTATAAGAGTAAAATAAATGGTTTTATAAATCTATGAGATGATACGTCATTAAAATTGCTTATAATTTTTTATTATATAAATTCATGACTTTTAATTTTAATATAATACATATTAATCTTATATATATATATATATATCTTATATATATATTAATCTTTTATATATATATATATAAGTATCCATATATATCAACATATACATTACATACAGCTACAAAAAATTGAATAAATATAAAACAACGATTATTTTGTGAAATATAAGGTATATTATTAAAATTCTATATAAGATATGAACTCATATGTACATAACCATGGTGTTACCATGGAAGTAATGTATCTTAAAATCTTTACGTAGCAACAACAATATCGGTAGTCAAGTGTTTATAAAGTATTTTGAAGTTTTATACTTTAATACTTTAAAAGTTACAATTTTAACAATATGTGGTGGGGATATAGCCCAGCATTAGATATACAGTCTGAAATTAACAAACACGAAATTAATTATGCAGATGCAGATCTCGAGATATTAATTGTAGGTGCTAGTGATGCAAGACATATTTTGAAGACATTAGCATCATCTTATTTATATAATGATCGCATTATTATATATAATGTAATCGAATCAACATTGGAACAAGTTGCTAGATCTATTCTTTTATTAAATACTTGTTTAGAAACAAATTTAGGTATATATATTTAATCTTAAAATATATACATTGTAATTATTTTTATTATTAAAAAAAAATATATTAAAGGATTGCAAGAAGCAACTCGATATTACTTAGAGATATTTGGAAATACACTAATAAGACCTGCAACAGCTAAGTATTTGATAAAGTCATCCAAACAATTGTCAGATATAGTAACAACCACAATTGATTGCCCCTGGTTAAGTTTGGAACGATTTATGTATAAAGACAGAGATCAGTTACAAGCGATCTTTAAGTGAGTTTATATAAAGAATTTTACATTGTAGATTTTTTTTTATTTTCGTATTCTTTTTTTTTCGTATATTTATTTTTTATTTATTTATTATATATTACATATATATATCACAAGGTATTGGGAATATGCCATATGTAATAATATTCCTATTTTGGAGTATTGGGATCAAAGAATTAGAAAATCATTAAAAGCACGATATGATTATCGGGAAGGTGTATTTGATTGGGATTATCACATGATCTTAAAATCTAGAGGTATTTCAAACTTAACATTACAAGAATATAGGTATGTTTACTAAATGATAAAATATTTTATTATATTAATACGTTTTTATAACTTAATAAGTTTTAACTCTAATTTTAATATCAGATTTTGGAGGAATAATGGAATTGCATTCAGTTGGTTAGAAGGTGAACCTATTAGAAGTAATCCAACATTATTGAATAATATAATGCAGTATGATTCCGGATATGTACATTATACTTATTCAGGAGATATTACAAATGGTCCTTTCTTCTGTTGGACTCTACAAGAAGAAAGAGATAATAATATGTACTTTAAATTTGTATATCATTACAATATTTTTATTGCAATATTAAAAATAATACAGTAAAATTTATATTTATAATAGGTGTAGAGCAGCTGATATAGCTGAAAGAGAAATTATGAAATGTATATATGAAATCATGACTCAAAAATCAATGTGCAAAGAAACCATTGCAGCACATAGAGATTTTTCTATTCTAAACGGCACATTAATAATTGAAACACCAAATAAGGAAATGGAGCAAGAATTATGGGAAAAAGGCAAAAATAAATATAAAAGCAATATATCTTGGATAAATATCAAAAATCATAAAGTACTATAATTATTATTATTATTTATAAATTATGATTCATAAATTTAATAATCTATATTGTACTTTCAGGTAATTTTCCATCCAATTACATTTTTGGCAACTTCTAAACATAAAGCAGAATATATTGGTAAATTTGATTTTATTTGGATAGCTCATAACATGGTGGAACAATTACCTAATCTTGTATCATTACTCAAAGAAAATGGAATTATATTAGTAGAACTAAAAAAATGTCTAGTAGAATTACGAAATGAAAATTTACAAAATTTTGTGAACGAATTAAGAAGTATGGCACAACGGAATAGATTACGTGAAATTAATGATATAAATATCAAGGAACATTACGTTGCCAGGTTTTCCAAATAAACGAATAATTTAAATTATATTAACTTTTATCCTGGTATCTGAAATCCATTAAATACATTCTTCCAATAAAAATAAATGAAATTATGTAAATCTATAAATATTTTGTATAATTGTCTAAATTAAATATAATAATAAATAATAATAATAAATTTCCACATATTTTTTAACTTGAAATACATTCAATATGAATATGCACATGATTTATTTAGCATTAAGAATTCATTTTCATTAAGTATTCATTACACATAATACATTGAAAGCTAAGGTAACCTGTAAAAGAAAAATCACCAAATCTTACGTATAGTGAAAAACTAAACTAACCATGATTATGAGAATCACCTAAAATCGCGGGAAACGTGTTCTGTTCTTGTTTAGAGGCCCGTGAGATATAGTTACAATTTATTAATATCAAGGCAAGAAATTATTTATGAGAAATTCAACAAATTTTTTTAGTAGTTTGCATGCAATACGCATCGACTTGTGTGGGCTGATAAAAAATACGTATCATTTCTTTAAGAAATAAGATATCCCTTGAAAATCGGCCATCGCGGCTATTTTCAGTGATAATGAAAATTATTTTCTATGCGTGAACCGTTTATACACAAGTTCTGAATTTTATATTGCATTAATCACTGAAGAATTATATGAGGTTTCATGTCATCGAGTTACTATCATCTTCGATAGACGAAGATGCTAAATTAGTTGGAAAACAATGACTACTATCAACAAAGCAAATAGCAAGGTGGGCATAACTGTTGAATCAGGATTTGGCGAGTTCGACAGAAGTTTGGAAACTGCAAGCAGTAATTTTAACAATGACCAAAAGGACTTCAATCTCAATTGTAGCAAAACTTCACCTGGTAGAAGTCGTTATGGCAGAACAATAAAACCTAAGTCTCCTAAGAATGACATTATCAGTTCTTCAAAGGCATGTTATGCCTCTTAAGATCAATTACAATCTTTCTGATTAATGATCAATACTATTCTTAACGAATTATGGTACTATATGTGGCATTTATTAATGTTTTACCTTTTTAAATGATTACTATTTATATGTATATTTATTTATTATGTAGTACTATCGATAAATAAATATATATATGTAACATAATATATACATATTTATTGAAAAAATTTATTGAAAAATGTATGTAATTTTTACATATTTTTGTATGTTAATTGTTTTGTTTTTTAATTGCCATTTTTAATTGCCATTGATATTTTTTTTTTAATTAAATGTATAATGTAGCATATGATGTAATATTGATATGTAACTTGTAGAATTCTAAAATGCCAAAGAATCAGAATTTATCCAATAGTAGTAACGACAGTACAGATGAAAGTAATACAGTTAACGACATGGATGATACAAGTGATTCTTCCACTAATTTAAGCATTATGGAAGAAACTACACCAAAATTGGTTGGTACGTCTATACAATGCAATTGGATATTAGGTCAATTAGCATGGGCTAGAGTTGGTAATTTTCCTTTTTGGCCTTGTGTTATAACACTTGATCCAACTTTAATGATATATCATAAATTAAGAGGTAAGTTTTTGTGTTTACAAATTTATTAGAATTATTAGAAAGACATAGATGTATATTCTGTTCAATAGTATTTTGTTTTGTTCTTTAGTTTATTATTAAAATAATGTTTAGTTAAATGTTATTATTATGTATAATATACAGAAAATATTTTTCCTTTAATACTTTTTATCAGTATTTTAAATATAGCAATTTTATGGTAACTGGTACAATTCATGTAAAATATATTTATATATATATATATATGTATATACGTATATTTGTTTGACCAGCTACTGCCAGATCACAAACGCTAATGATACATGTCCAATACTTTGGTGATAAAGGACGTCATAGTTGGGTTTCATCAAACTCTATGATTCCATTTACAAATCTTGCAGACTTTAAAAAATTATCAGAATCAATAACTGCAGAAGTAAAGAAGAGAGATGCTAAATATGCAGCTGCATTTGTTATTAAGCCTGGTATAAAATTAAAATGGGAAAGTGCGATTGAGGAAGCCATGGAAGTTGAATCAATGAGTAATGATGCTAGAGCTCATGTTTTTATTAAACCAAAGGAAAAAAACATAAAAAATAAATCATCAAAACTATCAGAGGAAAAAAATAAAGCTAATAAAAGAAAAAATTCAAGTGATTCAAATGATTCTGATTCTAAACGTGCTAAGAAAGATAATGTAGGCATATGTGAATGAGATATTTATGCATGACATATATATGTTATTGGTATTACAAGTATTTATATTGGATGATTTCACAGGTACATGATGTAGATAAAGAAAAGACAGATGGAACAAAACCAAAACTACTTAAGTACATTGAAAATGGTAAAAATAATTTGAAACTTAATTCAGATACTCCACCACTATCTCCTTTAACTCAAAGAAATTCCAACGATGAGGTTTCTCTTATGCAAAAAGTTGAATTTCGTCCTGAAGAGAAAGTAGATGGTGTCTTTGAAGTTTATTACGAACGGAATAGAGATATGTTAGAAGACGAATATCCAGATGCGTCAGAACGTGACATTAAAAAGTATTTAAAGAAGAATTGGGATAATATGAATTCTTCTTTTCGCAAAAAATATCGATCGTATGTAACATCAGATTCTACTAGTGCTCATACAAAAGAAAATTTATTAAACAATGAAGATGACTTACTGGAAGTGGATGAAAGTACTAAGGATAACAAAAAGTCAAGAATTAAAGTTGAAAAAGAAGAGACAAGTGTTTCAGAAACGAAAAAAAATAAACCTTATAATCTTTTTAAAGGAATGAAACAAGAAAAAGTTTGTCAAATATGTGAAAAGACTGGAAAATTAACTAGGTGTAAAGGTCCTTGTTATTCGTATTTTCATCTCTCTTGCGTGAAACCAGGAGAATCTAGTCCAGAGCATTCTATTGATGAGAATATAATGGACGATAAAATTCTTGATGATATAAAAGAGGTTAAACAAAGCAATACTGATGATGATGAGAATAACGGTACAGAAAATTCTCGATTATATCTTTGATGTAAAATAACAATGATGTTATATGATTACATTTATTCAAAGTGAATATTATTCTTAATTTTAGGCAAATTAGAAGAACAAGATGACGAATTCTTTAAATGTATTGATTGCTTATCAGGTGTAGCACCTGCTTGCTTTATATGTAATGAAAGAGAAGGAGATAGAATAAGATGCTCTGTATTAGCTTGTGGAAAACATTATCATTCATCTTGCTTGAAATCGTGGCCACAAGTAAGATTATGATTGCAATAGATGCGTGTTCTGATAAACTATCGTTTTTTTACAAACTCAATATGCCAGAACAATTAAATATAGATTCTTATAAATACACATGGATGTTTCATTCATTCAGAATAGAAATTCATCATAACACGCATCATAGTTTAATAATCATAGTTTAATGATCAATAAATGTTTGGCATTATATACAGAGAATTCCGTTTATCTTGTAAAATATCTCGTAAGGGATCAAAGTTATAAAATAAATGTTTCCATAAAATATTTCCATTTTACGAGATAAATAGAACATTCTATATTATACGTTATTAGAAATATTTTTATTTTTTTGTTAGTCTCATTGGCAAGGAGGTCGTTTGACTTGTCCATATCATGTATGTCATACATGCAGTTCAGACAATCCTCAAGATAGTCATTCCAGAGCTCCACATGAGAAAACGGCACGATGTGTTCGTTGTCCTTCATCTTATCACACATCGACGTCTTGTTTACCTGCTGGTTCAGTAATTTTAACCGGTAGTCAAATAGTTTGTCCAAAACATTATCAGGCACCACAACCTCCTGTAAACGCAGCATGGTGTTTTTTATGTACAAGAGGCGGAAGTCTTATCTGTTGTGATACATGTCCAACGTCATTTCACTTGGAATGTTTGGGTAACTATTTTTAAAACAAATACAGTAATTTAATAGCAATAGCATTGATAGCAAATCGCAGTTGTATAATTATTATGCACAAGTATTAGTAATAGTAAAATAAAATAAAATATAATAAATGGATTATATTTATAACTTTAGGTATTGATGCCCCAGATGGTGCATTTCATTGTGAAGATTGTGAAACAGGTAGATTACCTCTATATGGAGAGGTTGTATGGGTTAAACTTGGTAATTACCGTTGGTGGCCATCTCGTATTTGCTATCCTCATGAAATTCCTGAAAACATAGAAGCTATCTCTCATAGTCCTGGTAAATTTTGCGTAATGTTTTTAGGATCAAATAATTATCATTGGATTCATAGGTGAGTTCAATACGATATACCGTTGTTTAAATTAGATCATGTCTGAAAAGAAGAATTAATGTTTTTTTTGTTTATAGAGGACGTGCTTTTCTTTATCAAGATGGTGATGCAAACATAAAACCGCCCATCGGTAAAAAAAATAGAGATGATACTTATCGTAAAGCATTAGAAGAAGCCAATGAGATTCATCAACGTTTAAAAATCGAAAGAGCAGCAGCTAAAGACCATGGACCACGAGGCGGTTTAAAACCTCCGCCTTATGTTAAGTTGAAGGTACTTTGTGTATACGCGCATGAATGATTATTATAAAATATAATGTATAAATCAATTATTCACATTCCTTTATAGATGAATAAACCGGTTGGAAATGTAAAACCAACAGAAGTTGAAAGTATCGTTGCGTGTGATTGTGATCCAGAATGGGAAAATCCATGTGCTCCAGGAACAGATTGTCTTAATCGAATATTATTAGTTGAATGTAGCCCCGGTATTTGTCCAGCTGGTTCCAAATGTAACAATCAAGCATTTGTACGAAGACAATATCCAGCTATGGAACCATTTCATACTGCAGAACGTGGTTGGGGTCTTAGAAGTTTAGAACATATTAGAGCTGGACAATTTGTCATAGAATATGTAGGTGAAGTTATAGACGAAGCTGAATACAAGCGAAGATTACACAGGAAGAAAGAATTAAAGAACGAGAATTTTTATTTTTTAACTATAGACAATAATAGAATGATTGATGCTGAACCAAAAGGCAATTTAAGTCGGTTTATGAGTGAGTATTTTTTATTTTTAATAAATTAATATTTTGTATTTTAAATTTGTATCCTTGAATCTTGGTAGATCATTCGTGTTCGCCAAACTGCGAGACGCAGAAATGGACAGTAAATGGAGATACACGCATAGGTCTGTTTGCATTATGCGATATCGTGGCTGGTGAAGAATTGACTTTTAATTATAATTTAGTTTGTGATGGTGAAACTCGGAAACCTTGCCTGTGTGGCGCATCAAATTGTAGTGGCTTTATAGGTTTAAAAGTACAGAAACCACAAATTACTACACCTTCAATTCAACAAAAAAAATTTGATAAAATTGATAAAATAAAACGTCAGAAAAGGTAAATGACGATACATATAACATATATATTATATATTAATTTTCCTAATAGTGGAATATTGTATCATTTTGGATAATCATACGTAGCAGATATGTTTAGAAAAAATAAATCAGTATCTTTTATTCTTTTACGTCTCCGCTATTATATTTTTGTTTAATATTCTGAATAATTTATTTTTCCTTCTTATAATTCATCATCTTAAATAATGTATAATAATAATAATTATAAAATAGGCTAAGGAAGCGTGTATTATGCTGGGGTTGTGGTCAAGAAATTGAAAAATTAACACAATTTGTTGTTTGCGATCAAAAGACATGCAGTAAGAAGTACCATAAAACTTGTGTGATTATCGATGATACAGATTCGAGATTCAGTTGTCCTTGGCATTTTTGTGCAGAATGTAGTCGTAGAACATCTGCACATTGTTCTTTTTGTAGTGCTGCTTTTTGTCAAGGTAAATAATTTTGCAATACATTTGTTTAGTTTATATATTATTGTCTTAAATTTAAAACTAATCATCATTATTGATAGTACACCTGAATGGAAACCTATTTGAGTATAGTGAAAAGGGTGGTTTTGTCTGTAAGTTGCATGAAAATATGGATATACAAAAGTCTGCTGAAGATGAAAAAGATTATTCAGATAATGATACTGAAACAGACAAAGAATATTCTTCTACAGATTCCAATAGTCCGTTAGTAACAATGGAAAAATCAGTACCGCGTGAGCCATCACCAAGAGTTTCTATAGTAGAGGTAAGTTAAAGTTCTATTTTAAAGGTATTAAGCATAAATTCTTGGAAGAATTAGTTTAGTTCCTTTTAGTTTAATTAGTTCCTTTTAGTTAAAATTTCTAGTTAAAATTCTATTTTAAAGTTATTAATATAAGTTCTTGGGGAAAATTAGTAGTTCTTTTTCATGCATCTTAAGTTTTCATCCAAAATTATTTTATATTCATAAACTTTTATATTCATTTTATATTTATAAACATTGTTGTCATAATTTTTGTTTATTTGTTGTATTTATGTAACAAAGTAAGTATGATTAATAATTATAATGGTGGTGGTAAGTACAAAAAGAAAATACTAGTGCTTAAAAAGATGGAAAATGTTTATCAGTTAGATAAAAAAATTATAGACATATGACACATATTCTTTGTCTTCCAATGCTTTTATTTTAATTAATATCATGCATATTTTATTCCTATAAGATATTTTATATTTGTATAAACATTTCACTTATTTTCTATTTTATTAAATAGTATTATTTTGCATGTATTTTACATATTTCTATCTACATTTGTGTGTCGAAATAATATGTATATATAAGCAGACACGGAGTGATTTCTCATGAAAAAATAAAAAAAATAGAATACAATTTTTTGATTTGAGGCTTAGTTTTCAAGATAATCAAGTTTGAAAATCTGCCGCCCATATGGAATTGCAGTTAGATTACAAACAATGTATAATACCTATTATGTTTGTATGCAATAGCTGTGAATTATTAGATTTAAAAAAGCTAAAAGATATTCTGACAATTATACTTTATTATATCAATTACAAAATTCTTGAAAATCCTCATTATTATGTGCAGAGCTATGCTTGCCTAATTATAATTGGCTATACGTGATAAAATGTTTCAACTCTTTATTTCTTTAAATGCATATTAAATACTTTTTATACTCCATATGGAATACTTTGTCAATTCTATATGTAGTAGATTTTTAAATCTGATTTTCTCGAAAATGAAGCTTGAAAAGTATTTTATTTTATATTATGTTTAATTTTTCATAAGGAATCACTCCGTGTCTGTTTAGCCATGTTATTCCAATGTGTCTTCAACCATGCATATATAAAAAATTATGAAATATATAGTTAAGGCTTTATAATCTTGTGTAAGAAAATACTTTTGGTCTTGTAACACTTATTAGTAAGATCATTCCAAAAGTAGAAAGGAAAAGATTAACAACATTTAATTCTATTTCCTTTTTCTTTTTATTTGTTTTTCACTGTTCCCAGCATCCTCTCCCTGACATTGGCAATAGTGAGAAATAGTAGCAAACAAATATTTAAATTTATACGTTCAAGTGAGTGTATATTTTTGGTATTATCTCTTTAGACCTCTAATTCACTATCATATTAAGAAAATATCTTGTAATTAACAAATAGCTTGTAATAAATAATTTAGTTATTTTTGTTTAATTGTAAAATTTGAAATATTAATTGGTGAGTAAATAAACATGTTTAGCTTTTAAGTACAACACATACTTCGTTCTTAAATTATATTACATTGTGTAGTATATAATGTAATGTAACATCCTGGACCAGCTAAATGGAATCACCTAAATATCTCCGTTATTTTTGTTATACAAAGAAAAAAATTTCTGAAAATAAAGTCGCACTATTTTAAGAGACAAATGTAATGCTAGAAATATTTTTTTTCAATGATGTACAAAGAAAAAAACTTCTGCACCAACCAAGTTGCACTATTTTAAGAGACAAATGCTAAAAATATTTTTTTTTCAATGATAGTTTATTTACTAAATCTCAAGGTCATCGTTATTTTTTTTTTTGTAATTAACCTATACCAGGTATTTTTCAGAGTGTGAAAAAACAAATTCAATGACCATACGATCATTTGTTTTTAAGATATTTGTTAATATATTGCAATTATATAATGTATATATAAAATGTATATGTATAATATATTGTTAATTTATTTTTGTATAATATATTGTTAATTTATTTAATTAGAATTACCGCGCACGTGATATCGCAGGTTGCACAGTACACTGATTCACACATTCGAACTATTCGCACATTCGCACATTCCAATGTGCATATTCATAAACATTTAAAATATTTTAAATATTAGAAAATATCTTTGGAATTCATTGATATTTCGGCTACAAGTGAATTCAAAATGATGGTTTGTTGCAATGGATTGTTGTTTTCTAAGCATTTCCTCGTATATATGATTTAATTCTTCTAACGTTATGAGTATGAGTGTTTGTATAACTCACGATACCACGTGCGAAGAGATGTTGCATGAAGCTTGTGAAGTGAAATGTAATTACATTCAAACGCAAATATCTCAAAAATAAATGATCGGGGTATTAGAGGTCGTCGAATTCGTTTTTTTACACTCTACAAGAATATCCCAAAATAAATATAGGTTAATTGCAAAATATAGGTTAATTGCAAAAAAAAAACCTTCAAATCATTGGGGGGAGGAAAAAAAATATTTCCAGTATTACATTTGTCCCTTAAAATAGTGTAATTAGTACTCTGAAGTTTATTTGTACAATAAAAAATAGCAGAGACATTTATATGATCCCATTTAGCTGGTCCATCCTGTATAATATATTAGCTCATCTCATAAATTCGTCCAGCTTTTTATAACATTGCTTGTGGTAACAAATATTTGAAATATATTTATAAGTGCTATGAAAATGTGTAATCACTTTCTCATTTCTACAACTTCTTCCTATCTTTTTAGTGAAGACATAATGCTT